CTCTTTCCCTTTGCTTCTTTGCGTTTTCTGGGACCTACCCATTTCGTTTTCGCCCTTTCTTTTGCCCCTTTGGTAGTAAATAAACGAACTTGCTTCGGTTTTGGATAATGGGCATGGCTCTGTATCGTATGGGACCCCTTTCCATGTTTGTTTACTTTTATTGTTCTCTCTTTGGGGGTACGAGGTTTTGAATTGTGGTCGCCGTTGCGGTTTTGCTGAAAAATTTGTTGTGGAGACCCGAAAACCATGATGTTGTGGCTACAATTGTGGTTGTAGGCAGGTTTTTAGGACCTTGGGGGAATAATTTGGGGAGTGAAAATTATCAACATGTGGATACTGGATACTGGATGGGTGTTTATTGTGCATCATGGTTTATATGTTTTGGGATTAGGCTTAGGTTTGTTGACAATTTCCTTTCCTTTCTTTTTGATTCCCAAACAATGCTTTTGTGGTTCATATTTGCTTTACAGTTATTTATTCTATAAGAATAAAAGGGAAATTTTGTTGCTGTGCTAGTGTGTTAGTGGAAAATTAGAAGATGGTGTTTCGCTTTTGCTTATGTTTCCCATTTTCTTGTTTGATACTTGATTTTGGAGAGCAAAGAGTCGGGCAAAATAGATTTTACTAGGGAATTGCTTATGCTGAGGAACCTGGTTACTTGCTAGAGAGAAAGTAGCGAACAAAAAATGAAACAATGATACAATTTACGTTAAGTGTGCAAACCGGGTATTTTGCTAATGTTGTTTTTGCATTCATCGTGCTTGGACTCAAACATACTTACTCTGGAGACATCCTGTCAGTTTAAAGATGCAGGGGGTTTTGAGGCCTTGGTCTCTGGGAAGACTACTGAATGGCAGAAGATTGACGTGAATGAAAGGATAACTGGTCTTGAGCGTCTCAATCCAACACCTCGTCCCACAACGTAAGAGTCTGATTGCATGTTTGAATACAAATTTATAAGAGTTTTTGGAAGTTTTTCTATTGGAAATAAATAGTTTTTTTAATAGAGAAGTTCTCAAAAGTTTTTCTAAATTTGTATTCAAACAGACTCTAAATGTATCCATTTCCTTGCTTCTGTATAAGATGTTCATGAAAATTTGTGCTACAGGTCACCCTTCTTGGAGGGGCGATGGAACTTTGAGTGGTTTGGTTCTGGAAGTCCAGGCTTGTTTGCTGCTAGGTTTATATTTGAGTGAGTTTTCTCTTTGAAGATTTGCTTTTATCTTGTCAATTATCTTGTTTCCTCTTGGGACTTCAGATTGGTTATAAGAATATAATTTTTTTTATCTGCTATTAAATTTGGATTGATCTCATTGGTGAGTAACAATGCTCGTGTGCTTTATATCCATGCAGAATCTTTCCTTCGAGTTTGGCTAATTTGTCGAAAATGGATGTCTTTATTAAGGATGGAAATGCAAAGATTACTGCAAACATGAGATTATTGAACTCGGTATATTTCTGAGTTTGCAATTTTTTTTATGCATGTACAAATCTTAATTTACCATTCATGAAGCATTGCAAGCTTATTTTGTAATTTTCTGTATTTAATTTAAGCCCTTTTCCCTTTCCAATCGTCATGCACCAACTATCTAGGAAAGCATAAGTTGTCAGGTGAATACATATGAGTGGTTTCATTACATCCCTTATACACTCCCTCACATAAAGACCTTGGAGCTAGAGACGTTGACAATGCACAGGCCCAAATTTAATTTTTTATCAGAAGAATGTAGACGCTAGACGGAGAAGATCAAATTCTAGACTATTTGGTTATATATCCCAAAAATTTAAACTGTTAGGTGAAGATACATGGATATTTTATATTACATCTTTAACGCCAACTATCAAGGGGATTATGCTATCATTCGAATTACATGGTACAAACTACAAAGTATTTTTTTACGTTAGGTTTACCAACTAATAAAGGAGATGCATTTAGTGAGAAAGTCATTTTTAAACGGTTAATACTTATTCTTCTCAGTCTCACATGATAAGGACCCTCTCGCTATATATATCTGCTATATATATATTTGGGTGGAGAAGTAAGATTTTTCGATAACTTAGCATCGCTGTCTAATTATTCAGCCAGGTCATAGCAATCATTCATTTTCAGCTCTTGATGCTTGTGGGTGAGCATTATTCAGTTATAATATTCCATTGCTATCAATACCATATAGTGGCACAAGGAAGTCAACCCCAAACTGCTATAGCTGGATAGTAAAATAAATTATAGATCCAAGATATATAATTTATTCTATATGCATACACATGCTTAAAAATAAAATATTATCCAAAATTATAAATATATTCAATATTATTAATAATAAAAAGTCATAGTATAACACCTATTCACCATTAAAAGTTATAATTAATACTAACAATCAAAGAAGTGAGAACATCAAAATGAAGATGATGGAGTTTATTAAAAATAAATAAAATAAAATAAAGGCCACAATAGAAAAATTAGTATAATGTGATGAACTCTGAAGTGTGAAGAACACACTACACCTAAAATACAAAATATGTCATATATGTTATAATTGAGTTGCAGCAGTTATGAAATTCCCTGTTACATTGGCTAGAAAAGGAGTGGGTTGGGCAAAAATGGGTTGAGTTTGGCTGAAATATGTGTGATCTGTCAAGGTTGGGCTGGGAAATGGAGGAGCTGAGATGTGAACAGCGTATACCAATGGGCTGCATCGTCCTCTGTGACTGTGACTGTGATTTGAGTGCTATTCCACTGCCATTGTAGCTGCTATCTGCATGATGCAAAATGACTAAGCTATGGGTTTCTTGTAGCAACTAGCATCTGTGATGCTTTGCCAACTGTGTTGTGCTTTAATTTTTAGCTTACATCTTGACTCAGTGGTTATCCCTAGTAGGCTAGAAGCTACCTTTATATTCATTTCATACCTAGGTGATTTTGAAAAAGAACATGAAAGTGATTAAATTCTTTTGACAAATCATATGCATTAGATACTGGTGTCTTTCAGATACATATTTTTATTTTGAATAGCAGTTAGTCAACTACTATTATCGTACTGCCTGATCTGACACTCAGATATTTTACTTCTATTAACTTGGTCTTGATGCTGCAATCATGAAAAGATCAAGTAAAAAGTAAATTCTGTGGTAGTGACTTGGTAATGTTGTATATACTTGGAGAAGGTTTTAGGGAAAAATGGGCTATGGCACTAGGCAATGAATGCCATGGGAGGAAACACTATGTCTCAGCAAAAGGAGCATAAATATATTACCAGTACCTTAAGTGGCTGAAATACAACAATGACGTTTTGTGTTGGTGATTCTAGTAATTGGTTCCTAAAACCTTCTTTAAAGCCTGAGTGATGTCTCTAAAATTCCTTTTGTATTCACTTCAGTTAAAGTGAAAATCAAATGGTTGAAGACTTGAAGGTCATTTGCATATCTCTCAATCACGGCATTATGATGTTTTCTATCATTTCTCTGATGACATTGATATTGCCAAGAGATCCATAACTGATATGAGCCTGGCAGCACATGTTTGGGAAAAAATGATAGTCATGCACTAAATGTTAGTCCATAAATATTTAAAAGAAAAATTTGTCTATGGGAAGTGGGAAAATATTAAAGACCAAGAAAAAGGAGGAATTGGGAGAAATGATCTTAGTTACACTTATGGCTACACATTCTTAATATAAAAAGAATTACAATTAAAACCTAAACTTTTATTAATTTTAACAATTAAACATGGCAAAGAATTCCTGGATATTTTTAGTCAAAAAGATGGAAAATTACCATTATTTTACACAATAATAGATGCACCAAATACTCATAGAAGAGAAAACTGCTTTCTTTATGCTATGTATTGAATAGAACTTTGCTTTTCTGTTTACCATATTCTACTATTAGTCCAGAAATTTAAATTATTTTTTCCTTTCTCTTTCGGACACACTTGAAAGAGGCTCATCTTGTGTTCTCAATAGTAGTAAGTAAAGCTAATTTGAGAATCCATCTAAACAACTTTAAGTTCAATTTATTTTTAGCTGGTATTTTTCTTAAAAGCCATGATAATGCCTACACAAAATATTATTATACACTTTCTATGTCATGTTTAAAATTGTGTTTTTGCTGATTGTTTGTGTCATAATCATTCATTAGTAATCGACAATTAACACTGTGATCAAGTGTAGATAGAAAGCAAAGTCATTCTCTCAACCAAGTTATCTGTGGAGGGGCCACTTAGAATGAAAGAGGAATACGTTGAAGGGGTTCTTGTGTCACCAACAATTATTGAAGAGAGTGTCCCAGAACAGTTTAAAGGCGCACTTGGGCAGGCAACTAATGCTTTACAACAACTTCCTGCCCCTATACGCGATCCTGTTGCCAGTGGGCTGAAAGTTCCTCTAAGTAAGCTACTGCTAATTTTCTATATTCACCCCTATACAAGTCCTTTAACTCAAGTTTTCTAGCTGATATGCTTAATTGTTGGATTTTGGTTTTATTTCACTTTGCACTGCCAATATAATATGCTGAAAGCCTGAAATCTGTAGAAGCAGTACTTGTTGGGAAATGGCTTATCTATGTGAAACCTGAACTTCATGCATGTTTCTATCATTCCAGATAATAAAAATGTGTTAATGCCACGTTTACAATCCATTTTTCTGCAGCTAAAGCATGGCATTTTCCAATAATGAATGTCTAGTAGTTAACTTTTTTTGACTTGTTAAAGATACATGTTGCTTATTTCCAGAAGAAAAAAATAGAAGGTTAGATATCTGAGAATAATTGTGAAATCTCTTGTGCTGGTATTCTAGATGTTAACTGTAATATTATCTGATGATTTTACTCAAAATATATGTAAAGAAAGATAGCATATGCAAGCATTTATGTAATTGACTCATGATTGTAATGTGTAGACAAATGTATATTCAACTTGCTCTTTTATTCAGTTTTCAATGAGAAAACCTCACTTAATTTTATTGTGTGTGAAGGTGGCAGCTTTCAGAGACTCTTCATGATTTCTTATCTCGATGAGGAGATACTTGTAAGTTTAATACACATTCTCAGGAATCAATTTTAGAAAAAATTGATGCATGTGTGCCCTTGTAGATGACAATGCTGTAAGAGCTAATGTGAAATCTCAAATTTTGATGCATACACTAAGTAGCATATATATGAGTACTATTACAACTGATATAAATATGAAAATGGGATATGAGTTATGACCTGTTTTGGAATTAATTTTTCCAAATACACATTGTTAAAGTTGTTATATATGTATGGGCATAAATTAATTTTTGGATATATTTGACTTTCAAATTAGAGTATGGTGATACGTATTGTTATAATGTGGTAAAGAATAAGATGTGCTTTAAACTTTTGATAATACTGGGGGTTATGACCTTGGTTTCCAACATGTCTTATGCTTTTACGTGACATGTAACACGTACTAATTCGCCAGAAAAAGGAAGAAATTCTAGCATATATTGTGAACATCTTCACAATTTGGTAGGGTTACTTTTCCTCACTGACATTTGCATGATTAAAGCTGAGAGCCAAATGCAGCTCAGGGTGTATTCAGTCCCTGAAGGAAAATAATGATAGTATGCTATTATATCATTATCAAATGATATGCTAGTTGCATGAATTTGTGGTGCTTTATATATGTACTCAAATTGTTTGACAGAGACAATTCTTCTCATCAATATCCTCTTAATATTTATAGCGTGATTGAAGTTTCTAAATTATAGTGATAGGAACTAATCTGAATTAGTTTTTACTTCAAGTTTTGTGTTTGTCTCTATATATCTACCGGTTGTGAATGTCACAGTAACATGGAGGAAAAAAAAAAAGGGGGATACGATTCAAATGTGGTTCTTTACATTTTACATTTTACCTTTTTTAAAAAAAAATAAAATTAATTGGTCATTGTAAGTCAATTGAAGGGTAGCTTTAGATGCAATGTATATAATGCCATTTTTACCTATTAAATAGTTAAATCAAACCGTGGTTATATCTGAATGTTTATGCTGGTTTTGATGCAGATAATAAGGAACACAGCAGGGATTCCTGAAGTTTTAACAAGGTTGGATGCAGCACCATCTTCCTTGGGTGATTCAAATCCAGAGTATGTAAGCTAGGAATTCTATATATGCATGGAAAGTGAATTTGCCCCTCCTTAATCATGGGTATGAAACAAATTCCTGTTCCTCTTGGCCTCTTTTTCACTGAAAAGTAAAATCCCTTTTGGTTTTTCTACAGAGGGTAGAAATGTGAATATGGGTTGAAACTGACACAAATTCTTACAAAACCTTGTATTTCCTTAGTTTCACAACAAAATGGTTCTTTGATGTAGAAATTGCAAAATGCTACTCATACAATACAACTAGCAATAGTGAAATAAAATGCAAAATATCTGATGATTCTAGAAAATTAAAATTACACAATTTTGTGATAGCATTTATTTTGTTTGTCCTCTCTTCATATGCTAGCCTACCCATGATATGTCTATCGTATGAATTATGAAATGCTCATTTGGATCACTATCAGCATTGAATGGAATCCAAATCCAAGAGGAACCAAAACAAAAACGAAGTTGGTGCGTTGCTATATATTTTTATTTTGGGTTAATGGTATTTTAAGTTTTTGAAAAATTAAATTTTGGTCATAGTCTTATTTTATTAAAACATTGGTTTTAGTCTTTTTTTAATATCTAATTAGATCCTGTATAAGGGGGAAAGTGTTAGTTTTAGGTATTGAATTTTGGGTGTATCTAAAAGTACGGGGATAAAATTAATTTGAATAAATTACACAAACACTTTTATGTTGTTATATGAGATTGAACAATATTCCTAATTTTTTTTATTTCTATAACAACTCTCTTAATTATTTTTAAAAAAATATTACATTAATATTTTTTTAATAATTATATTAATTTCTTAATTATTTAAAAATAACAGGTTATGAGTTTGACTCCCTGTAAGGGGTTACGGTAAATATTAAAAAAAAATAAAGTGTCGAATTTTACGAAATTTTAAAGGATGTCTTTAGAGATTATTGGATTTAGATTATAATAAGGGAAAAAAGGTTTGTAAATTTTAAAAGACTTTATTAAAGGAAAGTAATGATTTTTAAATTGTTTTTAAAGACTTTTATAATTAATATTTTGTAATTTGGATTTTAATAAATTTATATCTTAAGAATTTATAAGATTTGGGAGGATAGAGAAGAAAGAAAGAGAAGGGAGAGAACCGATAAAGGCTATTGAAGAGATAGAAGAAAAAGATATCGAGAATAAGGATAAATAAAAAGGTCACTCAAAATCTTAAGAATTTGGGTTGGATTGTTAGATGGATGCATTATATATAATGTATCTTTAAAAATTTCACGAAATTCATCTTACAAAATAATTTATCAAGATTTATATGATTTTAAATTGAATACCATTAAATTTTAACATACTCTTAAAAATATTTTAATTGTCTTGATTGAATATTACAAAAAAAAATTATATTAAAAATGAATCTTGATTAAATATCACAAGAATTTTTTATTAGAAAAATATCTTTTAAAATATTTTGAAATTTTAATTCAATGCTTAATTTATTTATTTTAAAAGTCAAGATTAAAATCAAAGTTTTATTAAAATAATTGTCTTTTAAAATCTTTAAAAAATTTAATTCAATTTATTATTTTTAAAAGTGAAGACTAAAATCAAAATTGGAAAATTCTTTATAACTAAAATACTAACAACCTTATCCCTATTTTCTTCTCATGGATATGAAGATTTAGACTTTTTATATTCAAGTGAAGTGGAAGACTGGAACCCAGGTCCATGGCTCTCTATTATTACAAAACTGGGTTCAGACCATAGCATCTGAACACGTTAAATACAAGTCATGTACTCGTGGTGTATGAAAACGTGAAAAAGCAAAGACTATTATTATTCTTTTTATTTGACTTTTTTTGGTAAAAAGAAATGAACTTTTCTAAAAGAGTTATAAAAAACAAAAATAACATTATGAATTTGATATCTACCACACAAACTTCCAAAGAAGACCGTCACTCCCTCTATCCCTCTTTAAAGCCAGTACAAAAGTTGACACTTTGCAGACACGGTATGGTTGACACAATATGCTTATTTGAAAAAGAAAAAAGTGTTGTTGTTTGATACACATGTTCTTTAAATTAGGAGCATGATTGATCTCTACATTAAATATGAAATTATAATTAAAAATATTACTTTATTTTTAATTTATATTGACTTAATAAGTAAAAAATTATATCTCTTAACTAGTTATATTAAAAAAAGTACAAGAGTATTAAAAGAATAATAAATTTTATTTTTTTTATCAAGTTTGAGTGAAGGTATGTTTATAATTAAGTGGTTGAATTGAGTTTACAAATAAGTGGATTGAATTGGGTGCTAAACTCCATTTTCTTTAATAAAATTTTGAATTGAAGTTTTTGTGTATAATAAAATAAGAGTATGCAGAAAATCTAAATCAATCTAATACAAATTATATTTGAACTAAACCGTATAGAATCAATCTAATTAAAAATATTGATACAATTTTAAAAAAATTAATCTGATCTGTTTTATAACAAATGACTTAGTTAATCAACCCAATCTGTTTGAAATTTTAAGAATTTGATTCATAAATATTCTTAAAAAGTCATGATTGAAAAGGGTGATCTCAATGAAAGTAGTTAGTTAAGTTCAGAAATTTATTGACATAGATGAATATTCTATAACAATAACATCTACTAATAATAAAGAAAATACTTGTTTTTGGTATACACATTTCTTTGAAATATTTTATTCATATAACTACTTCTTTTTTATTTCTTTCTACTTTACTATATACTTCTCAGATGAACTTTTTCACACACTCTTTTAAGTAACAACCTATTGTATTATTTTTAAAAAAATTTATGAAGTCATGAAGTGTCTTCTTTATGCTAATGATTATAAAATAAAATGATGGTATATTTCTAAAACCTGATAAAAAAAATGTTAGTAAACATAATTTTTAATCCATTTTTTTAGATAAATTTTTATAGAAGTCATAATATTTTTTAATCTTACTTTTTATTTAAAGTGTTCTACTTATAATTTTGAAAATGTGAAAGATGCTCCTGCGTAGGTTAATGGGAGAATGTCTTATAATTTTCTAGTACCACGTCACTCCGTGGCAAGTTGCTCAACTACTTCATAGTTTATTGGGAGAGCCATTCTGATTTTGCATTCAAATTTTTATGCAATGTGAACATTTTTGACAACTAATAATAATAACACGTCCTTTGCCAAAATAAATAAATAAATTGTCAATTGTCATATTTTACCTAGAGCCTCAAGTTGCTCTAAAGTCTAAAAGTCAAGTCGAGTCTCAACCAACTCTCAAAGAATACTCAACCGATGACATTTAAAAATACGATGATAGCCACCCCATATGAAAGTGGTACTAGTTAAGAGATTAGAAATTGTTTAATGTAAATATAATGGTTTGAAAATTTTAGTGTTATTTTTTAAATCCTTAACAAATGTTTTGAAAATATTGCTTTACATTTGGGTTAAAAAATTATGTTCCATAATAGTAAAACTATTTAAATGACAAAATTTTTACTCTTAGTATATAATGTAATTACATACTTAATAATGTAACTCCAATCACCAAATAAACCGAACAATCTCACTTTATATTTGAAAGAGAGTGTTGGAGTTTAAGTGTGAAGTAAGTCTCACATTGATTATAATTAGACATGCTAAGTAATATACAAGTAAACTTAATCTTACATTATAATCCAAAACTTGGAGACATTAAGTTGGTAAGTCTTTTTTACTTATATATTTACTCAACTATGATGATTTTGAACAATTCAAAAAAATATCAATTGTCCATATCAAATCAATTAATTGGTTAGTAGTTTTATATTAATGTATGATATAACTTTTAAAATATATGTAAATATTTAATTTTGGATAACATATCCAGAAATGTTTAAGTCATATAAAATTTGATATACATGATCTTGAGTATAATATTATATAATTCAATAGTTAAAAAAGTTAAATTTTTATTATACAAAAAGTTATTAAGGGTACAAGTTTTTAAACTTACACCTGTGTTAAAAGATAACTATAGAGGAGAAATCAAATGATATGATATAAGGAATAAATCAAATGACATGGATGTAACAATCTCACAACATTGGTAGGTTTTTCTCACTTCTACATTACTCAAGATGCCAAATACTAACTCATGAGGGACTCACTTCACACTTGAACTCCAACACTCCCCCTCAAGTATGAAGTGAGTCCCACATCAATTAGAATTAGGCATGTTGAGTAATATTGAGTTTGACACTACATCATAACCTAAAATCTTAAGCCATTAAGGTTGGTAGGTTTTTCTTACTTATATATTACTCAACATGTCTAATTTTAACGGATGAGGGATTCACTTCATACTCGAACTCCAATAGTTACAAGCAATTACAATTCATTTTGTCTAAGATTAATCTCATTCTTGGTATTGTGACTATTGTTGACTTGACGAGTTTTTGTACACATCGATGATCAAATACTAATTTCTTGCTAAATAACCACCTCTGCAATGTATGAGTCTAGAATGTCCAACTACTATACCAACATGTTAGATTATTACATTAGTTTAACCATCAAAATCTAGTTATGATGTAATAAAGATTTTAAAGTTATTGTTTATCGAAATTAAATTGATTTTATTTGATAATAAATATTTCCTCCGTTCCATAACAAATATTGTGTTTAAAGAAAAATTAAGTCCCAAAATAAGTGTCATGTTAGTTTTTCAATATAATATTAATTATCTATTTTTCATTTGATTCTTTCGTAATATTATTTTTTAAAATGGTTATTGTATTGCATTGTTTCTATTAAAGAAGGTTAATCATATGATTATCGTATTATATTATTTCTAATAAAAAAGGTTAATCATATGTTAATTATATTAGTTTTTCTTAGTTTATATAAAATAATATAGAACAATACTTATTATGAGACGAAGAGTAATTATATTTTGAGCATTAACTTGATAATTACAAATCACTTTCTAAATATACGATAATTGTTGCTCTAAAGTATCTAGACAACAAAACTAATAGTTGATTATAGGAAAAGAATGACTTTTAAAAGAAAAATTCCCATATGCTATGCTATTTTTCATTTTTTTAATTATAGTATTGGTATAAAATACTTATCATTGAAAATAGTGATTAATATTCGCTAGAGATCATAAATGTACACAAGATAAATATTCTGCTCTCAACAACATGATTAAAGGATACAATTTGTTACAACTTTTATCAATAAACGTTGAAACTATTTGCCATTTATTTCAATTATAGTATTTATGTAACACTTTCAAGCTTCATCTGAATAGTACA